CGGGCGACGACTCCTCGGACATGGACGCGTACGAGAACGAGAACGCGGCGTCGAGCCGCCCCGACGTCGCGGCCGCGCTCAGAGGCCGGCTCGCGGCCTTCTTCCGGAAGGACGGCGCGTCGTAACTTACGCAAAAGGACGGTACGTACCGGGGCGCCCCTAGAGCCCGTCGACGGCGGCCTCGAGGTTGATGCGCGCGATCTTCGCCGTGGCGAGGAGGTCGCGGAGCAGGTCCGCGCTGCGCTCCGCGGCCTTGGCCACCTCCGCGGCCGCCGGCGCGACGAGCGCGGGCAGGCTCTCGACGCCGCCGCGGCCGCAGTAGGCGCCCGCGGCGACGGCGGCGACGGCGACGAGCGCGACGGCGAGCGGGCTCGGCCACGCGCTCGCGAGTTCCGGCGCGGCCGCCGCGGGCTCGGGCGCGGGCGCGAAGGACACGTTCTTCTTCGCCGTCGCGGGCGCGTTCTTGAGCGGCGGCAAGGCGGCGTTCTTCTTGAGGGTGGACCGCGTGACGCGCTTCTCCACGGTCTTCTCCGGCGTCGTCTGCTCGGCCGGCGGCGGCGCGTTCTTGAGCGCGGACCGCGTCGTGACGCGCTTCTCGACGGTCTTCTCCGGCGTCGTCTGCTCGGCCGGCGGCGGCGCGTTCTTGAGCGCGGACCGCGTCGCGCGCGGCTCCGGCGCGTTCTTCTTCGGCGTCGCGGTGTCGAGGGCCTTGTTCTTCAGCGCCGAGCGCGTCGCGCGCTTCGGCGCGGCCTTCTCCGGCGTCCCGTCCTGGTTCTTCAGCGGCGTCGCGGTGTCGAGGGCCTTGTTCTTGAGCGCCGAGCGCGTCGCCCGCTTCTCGGCCACGGGCTCGAGCGCGTTCTCCTTGCCCGGCGCCTTGCGCGCGGACGCCTTGCGCGCGGAGCGCCGCGGCGCCGGGTCGTCGAGGGCGACGGCCTCGGCGCCGAGGCCCGACAGGCGGCGCGACCGGCGCGACGGCGTGACGGCGTCGACCATGGTCACCGCCCGATCCTAACGGCGTTAATACAATCGTGGGTTCTTGAAGAAAATATAAAAACATGGCCTGGGCATGGCGATCGAACTTTCGAATAGTGTGGAGTACCGCCCTGCGCATAGACCACGATGCTCTTCGACATCACCCGCCGACAGCTCACGATGAAGACCATGGGCGCATGTGGTGGCGGCGACGCCGAGCGGCGACGGCGGCGCGGCCAATAAAAACGGAGGAACGCTCGTGCGTGCTCGGTGCTTTCGCTTTTCTTTGCCCGCACCGCCACATCGTCCCAACTCGTGTTCTGGCGCTTCCTCAGAGCCAGCGCACCGTTGTCCCGCAGCGCCGCCGCAGCACCGCAACCTTCGTAGCAGCACCTCTCCCCCGGCAACCAACAACACCGGCACCGCCAGCGCCGCCAGCCTCTACGATGTGCACCGTGGCGAGCTTTAACCAGCTCTCGCTCAACGCCGGCGGCTGCATCGAGTTCCTGCGCGACACGAGCGAGCTCGTCGACGCGCCGCTCGTGTTCACGAGGAGCCGGCGCATGCGCGTGCGGTCCGAGATCCTGCGCCACGTCGAGCTCTGCGAGGACGGCGACGCGTGCGTCCCGGGCGACCTCGACGCGTGCGCGACGCCGCTCGCGGCCGCGCTCAAGACGCTGGTCGTCGGCGCCGAGGCCGTGACGCCCACGACGGCGCCGGCGGCCGAGGCCCTGCCCATCGAGCTCGTCCACCGCATCTGCCACTTCGTCTGACCGCCTCGCGCCCGCCCGCTCCCGCTTTTTTCGGCGCCCGCCGCCCTGTATATATCTACTATGTAGCACAAACACTGCTGTTACCCGCCCGCGGCGTGGCGGATGCCCCGGAGCAGGACGTGGAGCGCGTCGCCGGGGACGTCGTCGAGGCCGTACTGGAGCGCGACGGCGCGGTCCGCGACGAGCCGGCGCATGGCCGCGACGTCCGCGGGCGGGATCGCGCGGAGCGCCGCCTCGACGTAGGTCGGGTCGGCCCGCGCCCGCGCCGCGTCGAGCATGACCCGCGAGCCCTCCCGGAAGGGCCCCCAGTGCAGCGGCCAGAGCCGGTCCTGCTCGGGCGCGAACAGAACGGGCACGCAGCCCAGCAGCAGCGCCGTGACGATGGACGCGCGGCCGGGCGTCAGGCCCGGCGGCTCGACGCAGAACGTCGCGTTGCGCTTCGCGAGCGCCGCACGCGCGCGCGACGCGTCCGTCGGCTCCGCGTTCTCGGGCGCGCGCTCGCCCGCGTCGCAGACCGCCGGCCCGGCGCGCGCGCAGGCGTCGCCGAGCGCCTTGCGCAGCGCGACGGCGTTGGCGCTGCCGTGGGGCGTCGCCGAGTACGCGAAGAGCCGCGGCCGCGCGCGCGCGTCGGCCCACGGCGGCGGGCCGGCCTCGCGCGCGCTCCAGCGCACGGCGGCGACGTAGGGCGCCGACACGAGGCGCGGCACGAGGTCCTGGGGCCGCCGCCGCTGCCGCGCGTCGAGGCCCTTGAGCGTCTTGCCCCGCTGGTAGTCGCCGGCGAACTCCTCGTACCCGCCGACGGCGACGCGCGCGAATTGCGTAAAAGGCTCGAAGCCCAGGGGCGTCGCCCACCAGCCGGCGCACTTGGGGATGTAGGCCACGCGGGGGAAGACGAAGAAGTGGCGCCGCGCGTTGCCGTCGTCGAGGTACGGCAACGATTTCCGCCACGCCGCGGCCCTCTCGAGCTTCAACCGCCCGCAGGCGTCGACCCAGTCGGACCAGTGCTTCGATTTCGGTAGGATGGGCACGAGGAAGAGCTCCGCGTCCTCGGGTTTCGTCGCGACGCACGGCGAGTCCGGGCGCGAGAGCCGGTCGAGCACGACCTCGAGGAGGTTCGCGTTCTCGCCAACGGCGTCCGCCGACACGTAGACGCCCGGCGCGACGCGCGTCCCCGGATTGGCCGGCGGCGCCCAGTCGACGAGGCGCGGCGGCAGGCGGTAGACGTACGTCCGCGGGCACGCGGCGGCGGTGGTTGCGAACGCGGCGGCGTCCGCGTCGCTCGCGAAGAAGGTCTCGAGCTCGGCGACGGCGCGCAGCCTGCCGCCGAGGCGGTAGGCGGCGCTGGCGCAGGCCACGGCGACGGCAACGCCCACCGCCAGCAGCCGCAGGAGGCTCCCGACGCCCTGCTGCTCCAGGGTCCGCACGGCGACGCCGCGCCGCCGCCGCGCGCTGAGGCCGCCGTCGCGCAGCGCCGCGAAGCGGGCCATCGCTGCGAACCACGGCGTCGAGCGCAACCGAGGCGTTCGGCGACGGCGGCGACGCGCGCGCGCGCAGCGCGACTTCGGCACCGCTCGAGTTGAGAATTTCAACTTTCAGTTCAACAAGGCGACGTGCAAGGCGATCCCCTCGGCCTCGTGCGTATCATCCCGAAGGGGAGTTTATACGAAGCCGGGGGGTGGGGCGTGTGTTCGATTCACAAGCGCGCGGGGGCTCGGGCGTGGGGCTTGGGGGGGACGGCGGCGCGCGTATTTTTCGCGCGGCTCTAGGCCATCCAGTCGGGCGTGCGGAAGCCCGCGCCCGCGTACTTGGGGCTGTCGAGGCTCTCCTCGATGCGGAGGAGCTGGTTGTACTTGGCCGTGCGCTCGCCGCGGCAGGGCGCGCCCGTCTTGATCTCGCCCGTGCAGAGGCCGACGGCCAAATCCGCGATGTAGTCGTCCTCCGTCTCGCCCGACCGGTGGGACGTCATGACGCCCCAGCCCGCGCGCTTGGAGTCGATGACGGCCTGGATGGACTCGGAGATGGAGCCGATCTGGTTCACCTTGAGGAGGAGGCAGTTGCACGACTTCTTCTCGATGGCTTCCGCGATCTTCGCGGGGTTCGTGACCGTGAGGTCGTCGCCGACGATCTGGACCTTGTCGCCGAGCGCCGCCGTGATCTTGGTCCAGTTGTCCCAGTCGTCCTGGTCGAAGGGGTCCTCGATGGTGACGATGGGGTAGTCCGCGGAGATCTTCGCGTACATGGCGAGGAGCTCGTCGCCGCTGAGCTTCAGGGACGCGTCCTTGTCCGGCCCCGACGTCTTGAAGTCGAGGTCGTAGGCGTTCTCGCCGTCGACCTTGAACTCGGACGACGCCACATCCAAGCCCACGGTGCACTTGCCGAGGTGGCCCGCGTTCTCGATGGCCTCCATGAGCATCGCCAGCCCGCTCTCGACGTCGCAGGGCGGCGCGAAGCCGCCCTCGTCGCCGATGAGCGTCGCGTCGCCGCCGAACTTCTTCTTGATGACGCTCTTCAGGTTGTGGAAGACCTCGCAGCCGATCGCCATCGACTCGGAGAACGACGACGCGCCGGTGGGGATCACGAAGAACTCCTGGAAGGCGAGCTTGTTGCCCGCGTGCTCGCCGCCGTTGATGACGTTGAAGCAGGGCACGGGGAGCGTCATGGGCGTCACCTGCGATGCGCGACGGTTTCGGCGCGAAAAAAAGAAAAAAGGGGACGTACCGTGTTGCCCGCGAGATCCGCGTAGTGCTGGTAGAGGGGCACGCCCTTGGCGCCGGCGCCGGCCTTGGAGGCGGCGAGGGAGATGCCGAGGACGGCGTTGGCGCCGACGTTGGCCTTGTTCGGCGTGCCGTCGAGGGCGAACATGGCCTCGTCGATCTTCTGCTGGTCCGTCGGGTCCATGCCCAGGAGCGCGGGGCCGAGGACCTCGTTGACGTTCTTGACGGCCGTGAGGCAGCCCTTGCCCATGAAGAGGGACCCGCCGTCGCGCAGCTCCACGGCCTCGTACGCGCCCGTCGAAGCGCCGCTCGGCACCTGCGGGCGCGGGTCCGTCCCGTCGCGCGTGTGTCGCGCCGCAGGTCTCCGGCGCCGCGGGCGCGCGGAGGCGCGGAAGAGGCCGTCCGTCGTCGTCACGTCGACCTCGACCGTCGGGTTGCCGCGGCTGTCGATGATCTGGCGCCTGCGTGCGACGCGGGGTTGAGGTTGCGCGTCGGCGAGGCCGTCGCGGCGTTGCGGCGGCGCACCCGTGGATCGCCGTGATCGACGACGCGTGGCGGCGGCCCGCGCGGACCGTCGACGTCGCTTGGCGGAGAATCGGCTGCATGCTTCCTGTACAGATGACGAACGGAGCTTCGGTCGACGCGAGTGGTCGGGCGTCGTCGACAGGGTTTTGTGGCGACGTCAAGTTGACGAGCTTCACACTCTGTGATTGAACCCGTGAAGCAGCCCGCGCGGTTTGGTCGGCCGCGGTTGGCTTCTGGTCGATGGCGTGCTGGATATGTGGTGCCGAGGGCCTCGAGTACGAGGACGGCGTCGACGCCCGCGACCGGCCGCCGACGCTGGGTCCCATGGATTACCTCCTGAAATACCTCCAGGAACTGGTGCTCCCGCTGCCGCGCCTCGCCGCCTCGCCCGAGGCCCCGCCGGCGGCCTTCGACGCGGCGCCGCCGCTTGCCAATATCTGGCCGCCGCCGGCGGACGAGCCCGTCGGCGCGCCGCCGCCGCGCACCGAGCCGAAGACGCCGTCGGCGGCCGTCGCCAACAAGGGCGCGACGCCTCGTGCGTCCGTCGTCTCGCCCGACTTCTCGCTCGCGGCGCTCGAGAAGCCCGGGCGGCCCAAGACGACGCCGTCGAAGATCACGGACGCGCACCTCCAGCGCTGGGGCGCCGACTCGGAGGACTCGGAGCTCGAGACGCCCGGGCCCTGCTCCGCCGTTTCCAGGAAGCCGACGACGCTCGCGAAGATCCTCGAGGACGACGACACGCCCGCGCCGGCGCTCGGCGACGCGCCGCGGCGCCCGCTCCGCGCCCACGCCATCACGCAGAAGCACCTCACGAACTGGGGGGAGAGCGACTCGGAGTCGGAGGTCGGCGACTCCGCGTCGGAGGCGGGCACGCCGGCGAAGGTCGCGCGGCCGCGCGGCGCCAAGCCCAAGCTCGCCTTCGCGGACCTCAAGAACGTCCTCCAGTGATTGTTGCGCGCGCCCGGCGATCTAACTCCCCCTCTTCAAGTGCTCGGTTGAGGTTCGTCGTGCCGTCCGTGTGGCTGGCGGGCAGCGCATGGCTGGCAGGACGCAGCCCCGACGGAGCGTCTAGCCATGGGCGTCGCCCAGTCGTCGGAGGTGAGCAGCCTCGCGGGCTACGCGAGCGTCCAGGTCGCCGTGGAGAAGTCCCTCTACGGCGCCGGCGAGACCGTGCGCGGCTACGCCCAGCTCGCCGTCCAGCAGCCGACGAAGATGTCGTCGGTCACGGTCCAGCTCGTCGGCGAGGCCAAGACGACGGTGCACTACACGACGCACTCGGGCAGCGGCAAGAAGCGCAAGACGCACCACCACACCGCGCGCGAGACCGCGCCCGTCGTCGCGCTCGAGGCCCGCGTCGCCGACTTCCCGTCCGGGTCCGCGCCCGCGGGCACGTGGCAGTGCCCCTTCGAGTTCGTGCTGCCCCTCGACGCGCCGTCGTCCATGGCGCGGCACGGCGCGGGCCGCAACACGGCGTCGCTGGCCTACTACGCGGGCGTCGTCGTGTCCCGGCCGGGCTGGACGCGGAGCAATTTGGTGCACCGCGTCATGATCGACGTCGTCGCCGCGCCGCCGGCCCTCGTCGCGCCGCCGCGCCGGGACGAGGCCGTCAAGGTGACGCGCTGCTGCTGCATCCCCGCGGGCGACATGACCCTCGGCGCGCGACCGTCGAAGAACGCCTACGTCGGCGGCGAACGGCCCGAGGTGCTCTACGCGGTCGACAACGCGTCGACGCAGGTCGTGGAGCGGGTTTCGGTGACTCTCTACCAGAACATCCGCTTCAACGCCGGCACCCACGGCCACTTCTTTCGCTCCGTCGTCGCGAGCGTCGTCGGGCCCCCCGTCGCGATAAACGACCGCTTCGGCTTCGAGGGCGGCGCGCCCGCGCGGTCCGCGGAAATCCAGCTGCCGCCGACGTTCTCCGCGTTCTCGCTGCGCACGCGGACCATCGAGGTGACGCACCAGATCGTCGTCCAGAGCAAGACGGAGAGCTGCTTCGTGAAGGACCCCTACATCGCGCTCGACACGTGGCTCTACCGCGCGACGCCGCTGCCCTACGCGGTCCCCCTCGACGAGGGCGAGGCGCCATCGATACCCACCGCCGTCCCCATCGCCTACGCGCCCAACGCGTCCCTCGCGCTCCCGGGCGCGCCGGCCTGCCCGACGGCCGTCCCGATCGACACGACCGGCGACGGCGTCGCCGACTCGTGGGGCTGGGACACGAGCGGCGACGGCCGGGTCGACAAGGTCCAGGCCATGACGTGACAAAATATATAGTTCCCTAAGGCAGGCCCTCTTCGAGGCGGTGGTCCGAGCTCAGGCGGAGCCAGACGACCGCGAAGCCGAAGAGGTAGCCGAAGACGAGCGCGGGCCACCACGTCGGCGCGACGGACTCCTCGAGGGTCGCGGGCGCCGCGACGACGGCCTCGGCGACGACGGGCTTCGCCGGCGCCGCCCCGAAGGCCGCGAGGCGCGTCTCGATCTCGCCGTAGACGTCCGGGCTCTTCGCGACGCGGTCCGCGTGTTTCCCGCCCTCCGCGAAGGTCGCCGCCTGCCGCGCGACCATGGGGATGACGAGGAAGATGACGTTCTTCACGACCCAGTTGACGAGCCAGCTCGGCAAAAACGGCGTCCGCGGGTCCACGCGTACGACGAGCGACACCCGCGTGCCGCCTGCGACCTCCTCGAAGAACCACCCCCCCGCCAGAGAAATGCGGTGGCGGCCCGGCGTCTTCGGCAGGTCCGGCGCGTCCCGCATGTAGACGGCGACGCCGCGGCGCGGCGCCGCGCCGGGGAGCAGCGCGCCCGCGTCGCACGTGTCGCCGTACGCCTCCGTGAGGACTTCGTCGCGGGGCAGCGGGTAGGGCTTCGCGCCGCTCACGCGGAGCCGGCGCCGGAACCGCGACGGCTTTCCTAGAATGTCGGCCTCGTCGGCGCCGGGCAGCCACTCGGGGAAGAGGTCGATCTCGAGGAGCGCCGCGCACAGCGAGAAGATTGACGCTTTGACGACGCCCTCGCAGCGGACGCGGATGAGGCCACGCGGCGCGCCGCGCTCCGCGAAGACGTCGACGCCCCGGCTCCGGTAGCTCCGGACCCACCGGCCCTCGTCGCCGAGGTCCTCGAGGAAGGAGCACATCTCGCGCTCGCACGCCTCGATCGCCGGCGCCGCGCCGGCCCAGCCGCGCGCCCGGGCCTCGCGCAGCCGCGCGACCGCGAGGACGATGCGGTCGTCCTCGAAGCTCTCGAACGCGAGCGCCGCGTAGTCGTCCTCGGACCGCCGCCGCGCGAGCTCGCCCTCGAGCTCGTCGACCGTGGCGGCCCAGAGGCAGGGCGCGGCGTCGCAGGGCTTGGCCTCGCAGGGCTCGAGCGCCTTGCCGGTCCTGCGGCCCAGCCGCGGCAGCAGGCGGACCATGGTGGATAGCGGTTGCGATGTGCCCGAGTCGGGCAGCGGTTGCGCAGTTCGCGAGTCGGGCAGCCGCTGTCACTGCCAAGAGGCCAGTGGCAATTTTTGTCCGATCAGCGTCTCGACCGCAGCAACCTTACGAACTTGCGTTCAAGGTGAACATTCGAACGCCCAACGTTCACCATACATGAAGGGGTGGACCGGCTCCCATGGCGGCGCCCCCGTCCTAAACATGGGAGCGAGGACGGGGCTCACTCGCCTCCCACGGCGGCGGCGCTCCAGACCCCCAAGCTCGGACGGGGCTTGCTACGACGGGGCGACTAGAAGGGGCAGGTCTTCCCCGCGAATTTGGCCGGCGGCCCGGCGGCCGCCGGTTCCGCGGTCTCGCGGGCCTTGGTCAGCACGATGAAGTCCGCGACCGTGTCCAGGGACGGGTCGTCCCAGACGTCCGTCGCCGCCTTGTGGGCGAACGCGTTGGCCTCCATCGGGAGGCACACGACCACGCGGAACTCGTCGCGCTCCACCGGCGGGAAGTCGCCGCGCTCGCTGTAGTGCTCGACGTGGTCGACCACCCCCAGAAAGTGCTGGACGTGGAAGCGGCCGCAGACGAGCATGACGCCGTGGGCGCCCGCGGCGAGCGACGCGAGGCAGTTGTAGGCCATCGTCGCGTCCCACAGGCACTGCGCCGCGACCTTGTTCGCGCCGAAGCCGATGCGCCGGAGCCGCTCGGCGTAGCCCGGGCTCAGCGGCTGCGCCGCGTAGGGCAGCGGCGGCAGGAGCGCCTTCTCGGCGTCGGGCACGCCGTCGAGCGCGCCGGGGCCCTCGCGCGCGACCAGGCGCGCGTGCCGCCGCGACGCGTTCGCGGCGACGACGTCGTTCTTCAGCGTCTTGGCGAGGCGCGCCAGCGGGCCGTACTTGGCGCAGTCGCCGGGCCCGCGGAAGAGGCTCCGCACGTCGTCGGTGTCGCCCGCGGAGAACGCCTTCGCCGCCGCGCGCCGGTCGCCGTCGACGAACTCCAAAGCCAAGGACACCTTGCGGCCGTCGCGGCGCCGCGCGACGCCGTCGTAGACCGTGCACTCCAGGTCCTGGGCGACGGCGTCGTCGTGCGACTCGCCGAAGAGCACGAGGCGCCGCTCCGGGTCCGCGAGGTCCGCGATCATGTCCTCCAGGGACACCCGCGCCAGCGGCTCGCCGGGCACCTGGCGCTCGAGGACGATGACCTCCTGCTCCAACTCCTTCACCGGCGTCACGTGGCGCCGCACGCCGCTCTCCGTGTTGTGGCGCTCCAGGGCCTCGCAGCGCGCGAGGTGGCTCGTGGCGACCACCGCCGTGCCCACGCTGCATCGCGACGCGACGAGGCGGAGCATGGCGGCGGCGGGGTGCGGCGGGAAGGAGTTCGCGCAATGGGCGCTGCAGGGTTGCAAAGATTGGTCGTGTCGGTGTGCTTGTGTCGGCGTCGACGACAGAGGTGGCGGAGCCGTGCGATCGAGCACGAGCCGCCGAACATGCGAGTTGCCGTCACCGCTGTTTTTTTGCCACTGGCACGAGTTCGATGTGAGGCCCCAGCGCCGATCCCTCCTTCAGCTCGGTGCGATCGAAGAACGCTGCGTGTGACGATAACCTTTGGCCTCGGTTCGCCTCGCCACAGCCTCGCATACAACACTAGCCAGCCATCATGTCCGCCAAGGGCGCGAAAATCTTCAAGACGAAGTGCTCACAATGCCATACCATCGAGAGCGGCGGCGCCCACAAGCAGGGGCCGAACCTGCGACGCGCCGGCGTCCGCGGCTCCGGAGCGTCTCGACTCACCCGTCGACCCTTTGTAGGAACGGCGTCTTCGGCCGCGTCGCGGGATCCGTCGACGGCTTCGGCTTCTCCGGCGCGCGTCTGCCGCGCCTGCGGCGTTTCGGGGCCGCGCGCCGCGCGCCGCGGAGGACCGGCGCGGGACGCGCGGGGACGCGCGCGCGTCCGTAGGCGGTGAAGGGCAGCGGCGTGACCTGGGACGACGACACCATGTCCAAGTGGCTCGCGGCGCCGAAGAAGCGAGGCGCCGCCGCGTCCGAAGTCCGCGCGCCGCGGCGCCGCGCGACGCGCGCGCGCAGGTTCATCAAGGGCACGAAGATGGTCTTCGCCGGCATCAAGAAGGAGAAGGAGCGCAACGAGCTCATCGCCTACATGAAGGAGGCCGCGGGCTAGGCGGCGCGCGAAACGCGCTTCGACGGGGCCGCGGAGGCGGCCGCATCGCGTCGTTAAGAGCGCGACTGGTCGTTTCTTCGTGTGGCCTGGGCAGCTGGGACATGCGAAAAACGCACGACCCAGCGGCTCTCGAGAGGCCAAGTCTGGCACCGCAATGCTGACTTCAACATTTACAAGCTGAGGTCTGCACGCCGCGTCGGGCAGCCCAGCGCTGGGACTAAACGATGTGGGCGCCTCGGTAGCCGAGGGCCGCAGCGCGAGCCCGTCGCCCCAGCCAATAAAAGGAGAGACGGCGATGGCGCCGGCGACGCCGCCGGCGGACGCCCTCGCCACGCTCGCCGCGAGCGTCGCCGCCCCCGGCGCGGAGGAGGTCGTCGAGCGCAAGGAGCGGCGCAAGTCGCTGCTGCAGCGCGTCATCGGCGGCGGCGGCGGCGGCGGCGGCGAGGGCCGGCGGCGGTCGTCCGTCGCCAAGGGCCGCAAGTCGCTGCTCCAGGCGCGCCAGCCCGAGGCCGCCGCGGAGCTGCCGGAGATGTACGACAACGGGCCGGGCGACGCCGCGAACTGCGTCTCCGTCGTCGTGCTGCGGGGCCGCGACTTCCGCGTCATGGACCACAACCTGTTCAGCAAGGGCGGCTCCAGCGACCCCTTCGTCACCGCGACCATCGAGGGGCGCACCGCGCGGGGCCCGCGTCCGGACTTTGACACGCGCGCTCGAACGTCGCCTCGGCCGACGTTCGGACGAGCGGCGTGCGCGCGTCGCGTCGATGACGCTCACACGCTTTACTTTAGGCAAAAACGAGCATCAAGAAGAAGACGACGGCGCCCGAGTGGCACGAGCGCCTCGACCTGTCGTGCGAGCACCTCGAGGGCATGCTCATGCTCAAGGTCTACGACTGGGACCAGCTCTCGAGCCCCGACTTCATGGGCACGGTCGCCGTGAAGCTCGAGGATCTGGGCGAGCGGGAGCAGTGCCGGGGCTGGTTCCCGCTGCTCAACGAGGACTTGAGGGCGCCCGACGAGCCGCGCGGCGACCTCGAGATCGCGTGCCTCTTCCACCACGACCCGAAGCGCGTCGTCGCCGTGCCCGAGGCCTTCTTTGCGGTCGAGGAGCACGCGAAGAAGGCGGCGAACGCGCTCCGGGTCGTCGTCGTCCGCGCGACGAACCTGCCCGCGATGGACGCGTCGCTCATCGGCCGGGGAGGGTCGTCGGACCCCTTCGTGGAGGTGGCCCTCGGCGGCGAGAAGCGCCGCACGCCCCACATCTCCAAGGACCTGAACCCCGTGTGGCTCGCGGAGTTCGACGTGCCCGCGGAGGACGTCGCCGACGGCTTCTTGGAGCTCCGGTGCTTCGACTACGATTTAGCGTCCGGCGACGACCTCATCGGCTCCGTCAACGTGCCCCTGGAGGCGCTCCACGCGGACCGCACGCCCGTGCGCGCGTGGTACGAGCTGGATTTGGCGACCCGTCGGCCCAAGTCGCCGGGCAAGCGCGGCACGCTTCTAGGGCGCCTCTCGTCGACGCCGCCGGCGTCGCCGACGAAGGCCGCGAAGACGAGCAAACGCAAGTCGCGCATCGCGGCCGCGCGCAAGAAGAGCTCGGAGAACCTCGCGGAGACGCCCCAACCCCCCGAGGACGAGCCGCCGCCGACCGCCGCGGCGCCGTCGAAGAGCCGGCTCGAGGTCGCGCTGCGGATGGTCCACAATCCCGACTACGTGCTCCATCTGGAGAAGGGCCTGCTGGACGTCAAGTCCTACAAGACGAAGAAGCCCAACGAGCTGCGCGTCGTCGTCATCCGCGGCAAGCACCTGCCCATCATGGACCGCAACCTCCTGGGAGGCGGCGGCCAGGGCAGGAAAAGAGAGCGAAATTCCCAACTTCAAAGGCTCCTATCTCGGTCGTTTTCCACTCGTTTCGGCTGATTTTTGGACGAGCGATCATCCCTCGGAACAGTTTCGAAGCGTGGATGCTTTTTCCTGAACGCGCGCGCGCGGAACACTCACGTTGAAGCGACGTTGAATCACCCTTTTCCTGCCCAGGCGGCGGCTCCGCGGACCCCTACGTCGAGGGCGAGTGCGACGGCACGGAGCGGCGGACCAAAGTCGTCAAGCGGAGCCTCTTCCCCGTGTGGATGGACATGCTGTGCTTTCCCATGGACGAGCTCCGGGGCCATTCGTTACACTTGAACGTCATGGACCAGGACAACGTCTCCGCCGCGGACTTCATGGGGCGTTTGGAGCTGCCGCTCGGGTCGCTCGAAGATCGAAACGCGCAGCGCGCGTGGCACGTGCTCCGGCTCGACGAGCGACCGGAAGAGGAGCCCGAGTTCCTGGACGAGGCCGACGCCCATCCGCCGGTCAAGCCCACGGGGCCGGGCCAGGAGCTGCCGAAGGTGGAGGTCGCGATGCGCTACGTGCACAACCCGCTGCTGGTCCACGAGCTGCCGAAGAACTCCGTCGAGGACCCGAACCCGCGCAAGGCCGCCAACGAGCTGCGGGTCGTCTTCGTCCAGGCGCGGAATCTGCCGATCATGGACCGCAACGCGCTGATCCACCGCAGCGGCGGGTCCACGGACCCGTTCCTCGTCGCGACGCTCGACGGCGACGAGGTGAGCACGTCCGTCAAGACCAAGGCTTTGGACCCCGTCTGGCTCGACGCGCGCCAGATGCCCGTGGAGGTGCTGGACGACGACTTACACGTGGAGTGCTTCGACCACGACGAGACGAGCGGGCCGGACTTTGTGGGCGCGTGCGTGATCTCGATCCGGGAGCTCGCGGACCGGAAGGTGCACCGGGGCTGGTTCCAGCTCCGGGGGCGCAAGGCCGGCGGCGGCCTGCTGCCGGCGACGACGCGGTCCCACCTCGGGCGCGTCGAGGTCGCCATGCGCTGGGTCCACAACCCCAAGCTCGTCGTGCCTTTGCCGACGGACCTCACGCGCGACAACTTCACGAACCTGGAAGCGAACGAGCTGCGGGTCTGCGTGATCCGCTGCCGGAACCTGAAGGTGCTGGACCGGAAGATTATCGGGAAGAAGGTCGTCGACCCCTACGTGGAGATTGTGCTCGTGGGCACGACGTACAAGACGTCCGTAAAAAAGCGCGACGTCAACCCGCTCTTCATGGAGACGCGGGTCTACGACGTCAACGCCGTCGAGGTCTGCGACGCGCCCCTGCAGATCACGGTCTGGGACGACGACGAGCTCCGGTCGGAGCGCGAGGCCGCGGGCGACGACGACTCGCGCGCGTCGGAGCGGTCCGCGGCGCGCGCGCCCGCGACCGCGGGCGAGGAGCGGCCGCGGCGGGACCTCGTGGGCGACGCCGACGCGGTCCTCGAGCCGCTGCTGAACCGCGAGCTCCACCGGGCCTGGTACCCGCTCGTCGACGAGACGGGCGCGTCGAGCGGCAAGATCGAGGTCGCGATGCGCTGGGTCCACAACCCGAAGAAGACGTTGACCATCCCCGAGGCCTTCAACCAGACGAACCGGCCCCTGGACCCGACGAAGGAGCCCAACGAGCTCTTCGTGCTCGTCATGCGGGGCAGCCGCTTACCGGCGATGGACGCGCCCGAGGGCGGCGAGGCCAAGGGATCGTCGGACCCCTACGTGACGCTCAAGCTCGGGAGCCTGTCGCTGCGCACGTCCGTGAAGAAGGCCGAGGTCAACCCGCTCTGGCTCGAGCCCTTCGCGACGCGGCTGAAGCCCGCCGCGCTCGACGACGAGCCGGACCTGAACCTCGAGGTCGTCGTCGCGGACTACGACGACGACCTCAGCAGCGAGCTCATGGGCCGCTGCGTCGTGCCGCTCCGGAGCTTGCTCGACCAACCGAAGCAAAAACGCAGCTGGTTCAAGCTGAGGAACGGGCCGCCGAACCTGCCGGGCGGGTCGCTCGAGCTGCTCGTCCACTGGGCCCACAACGTGCCGTTGGATCTGCTGGAACAGGAGGAGGCGTTACTGGAACAGGAGCGCCTCGAGCTCCTCGACGCGGAGATCGTCGCCGCGCAGCCCGTGGCCGTGGACGCGGACGCGCCGGGCCCCTTGGCGCAGCACGTCGCCGACGAGGCGCGCAACGTCAAGGGGCGGCCGCCGAACACGCTCGAGGTCTGCCTCGTGCGCGCCGCGAACCTCAAGGCGGGCCACCGGTCCGGCGACGTGCCGCGGCCCCGCAAGGTCCTCACGCCCGTGCCCGACAGCTCCGCGGTCGCGGAGCTGTACACTTTAAAGGGCGACGTCTGGCAGCAGGCCAAGGACGGCAAGCTCACGCCCAACGAGCAGCGCCTGCGCCGGCGATTGCACGCGGCCACGGAACTCACGCCCGTGAAGGTCCAGGACCGCGTGCCCCAGTGGCTCGCGGCGTCGACGCTCCGGCTGCCAAGGCACGCGGAGGCCGTCGACGCGTCGACGTTGGTCGTGCGGACCTTCGACGACTTGGCCGACGACCCGGCCAAGGCCACGGGCGCGGCGACGATCCCCCTGGCGAAGATCCGCACCTTCGCGGCCGTGGACGCCGGGTGGCGCGCGTGGCACGATTTGGGCGACGAGTTCCACGAGAGGGGCCAGGTCGACGTCTGGCTCCGGCTGAGCTACGACCCGTCCATCGTGCCCGAGGAGGTGTTGGAGGACGAGGTCGAGGCGCCCGAGGCGTTGTCCGAGCCCGCGAACGAGCTCAAGGTCGTCGTCGTGGGCGCGCGCGTGCGCACGCAGCACACGCGGCGCAACAAACATCTGCTCCACAAGGACTCCATCGAGGTCGCGCGCGACCTGGGCATGGCCGTCGCCGACGACGACGCGGCGGAGGAGCAGTCGCTGAGCTCCTTCGAGCGGCTCGCGAAGCAGCACCACGACTCCGAGGAGGCGAGCCACGCGAGCTCCATGCACCAGAACCTGCTCAAGCTCGGCGGGCTCGAGGCGACGCTCAAATTCATGGGCCGCGACCGCCACACGCGCCTCGCGCCCTGGGACGACTCGGACAAGGCCCTGCGGCTGACGACGGGCAAGTGCCCGGCCTACTGGCGCGAGGCCTTTAATTTCGTGGCCAAGGACGACCGCGACGGCGTCGACGTCATTTTGACGGAGGTCGACGACCACGGCAAGAAGTTCTACCTGGGCCAGTGCCACACAGGGCAGGACAAGGGTGATTCAACGTCGCTTCAACGTGAGTGTTCCGCGCGCGCGCGTTCCAAAAAAAGCATCCACGCTTCGAGACCGTTCCGAGAGATGATCGCTCGTCCAAAAATCAGCCGAAACGAGTGGAAAATGGCCGAGAGAGGAGCCTTTGAAGTTGGGAATTTCGCACCGTTTTGCTGCCCAGGTGCCACATCAAGATGGCCGACCTGACGCACCGGCGGCCCGTGCGCAAGTTCTACCCCATCGAGCGGGGCCACAAGGGCGGCGCGGACGCGGACGTGCAGTCCGCGGCGGAGATCGAATTGTGCGTGCGCCTCTCGCACTCGCTCCACCTCGCGACGTTCCTCTTGCCGGACCCCGTGCTCGCCATCGCGACGCAGTGCACGGCGGAGGACGCGCCGCCCGTGCCGCCTCGACGGCGCGACGCGAGTGGCGGTGCGGACTTCGACATGGCCCGGGCCGTCTCCGTGGACCCGGGCGACGACGTCGACATGGACGCGGACCTGGACCCCGACGCCGTGCCGCGCTGGTTCTACGCCGAGGGCGAGGCCGAGGGCGACGCGCCGGAGGCCGTGGGGCCCCACAACCTCCACGACCTGAAGGAGTTCTGGAAGCACCGGACGATCACGAACGACACGAGGGTGTGGCGGTCGGGGCTCCCGGCGTGGACGCCCGTCGACGAGCTCCACGTGCTGAAGCGCATCTTGTGGGACTACCCGGCCCTCCCGCCGCCCGTGGACCCCGCCGACGCGACGACGGGCAACGAGTGGTTCGTCGTGTCGCCGCGCGTCGCGGAGGAATTGGGCTACGACGAGCCCGGCCCTGTGCCGAATTCAACCACTGGTTTGGGTGGTCCTGACCAAACTTCAGAATTCTCGAGCTCGGTCACATCGAAGTCGATTCGGCTGATTTTTGGACGAATCGATTGCTCTCGTCGAGTTCTTGAAGCACAGCAGAAAGCCTCGCGTCGAAACGGTCGCATACGCGCACGTTGAAGTCGGGTTGAAGATTTGGTTTCCACGCAGGCCCGGCCGCGCGTACGCGCGGTTCCCCGACCGCCGGCTCGGCGACGTCGTGCCCGACGCGGAGGTTGATGTGGATGCGGAGCTGGCGAAGCTGAAGGATCTGGACATGGACGTCGGCGTGGAGCTCGACGCGGACGAGCCCGCGGACGACGTCGCGTGCGGGAAGGCGGTCCTCGACCCCGTGACGGGCCCCTACGCGCCCGGCGACCTGCGGGGCCGCAAAAGGGTGATTCAACGTCGCTTCAACTTGAGTGTTCCGCGCGCGCGCGTTTCGGAAACAGCACCCACGCTTCGAGAGCGCTCCAAGAGATGATCGCTCGTCCAAAAATCAGCCGAAACGAGCGGAAAACGACCGAGATAGGAGCCTCTGAAGTTGGGAATTTCGCACCCTTTTGCTGCCCAGGCGACCTGCGGGACGCCTACGAGACGGGAAGGTTGGGCCCGGACGCGCTGGTCTGGCGCGCGCCGATGCCCGGCGAGGACGAGGCGGCGGAGGATCTGTTCGGGCCCCTGGTCTCCGTGAAGGCGCTGCCGACGTGGGGCCGGCGCCAGGCCTGCGAGGGCTGCCGGCTGGTCCAGTGCGACGTGCTGGCCCAGTGCGAGCTCTGCGGCGGCCTGGCGACGCTCCACAGCGTCGACGCGCTCGCGCTCCAGCTGGCCGAGGGCGACCGCGCCGCGGACGATATCGGGGAGGAGCCGCGGCCCCCGAAACCCGCGCTGCAGCCGCGCGCGGGGTCGACGATCGACGCCAAGGAGGTCGTCGACGGCCTGGTCTGGGTCGGCGGCCGGCGGGCCGCCGAGGAGACGCAGCTCGCGGGGCTCCACGTGACGCACCTCGTCCGCGTCGTCGACAAGCAGCCCGCGACGGTGAAGGTGGACAAGTGGCGCGCGCCCACATTACAAGAGGAGATGGAGACGCGGGAGCTCACGGACTGGGAGATGCGGTTGGTGGAGCACGACGCGGAGAAGTACGACCACGCCCTGCCGCCCCACTCGCCGCGGAAGATCACCATGGCCCTCGCCGCGGGCGCGGGCGACGGCGACGCGGAGTGCGTTCTCGTGCTCGACGAGGAGCGACGGACGGCGTCCCTGAAGGAGGCGTTGGAGAAGTTCTACGACTTTCTGAAGAACTCCGTGAGCCGCTGGACGTCGTCGACGGGCGAGCCCATGCGCGTGCTGCTCTACGACGACGTCGAGGCCGACGGGCCCCCGGTGAGGGCGGCCTTGGTCGCGGCGGCGTACGTCGCGCGCGAGGAGGGCTGGGCGTCGAGGGAAGCCCTGGCGTTCCTGGGGCCGCGTCTCTGCGAGACGTCGAGCCTCTTCGCGGCCGAGGACGCGGGCGACATCGCGCTCGCGCTGCCGGACCCCTGGGTCGCGGAATTGGAGGCGCTCGCGGCGGAGACGGTCGTCGGGCGTTTGTTCTGCGCGGACTGCTTCGAGAACTGGCGCTTCGGCGCCGTCGACGACGTGCTGTCCACGCGCGTAGCGGCGGCCGTGCGGCGCCTGCGGGCGCGCGACGCGGCGCTGGAGGTGCTGGATTTACGGGGCGAGGGCCCGCTCGACGGCGACGCCGCGGGCGTGCTCGGCGCGGCCGCGGGCCACGCGCTCGACCTCGTCTCCCTGGACCTGAGCGCCTGCGGGTTGGGCGACGCGGGCGCGGCGGCCGTGGCGACGGGGCTGCTCCACGGCACGTCGGGCGTCGGCGGGCGGCGGCTCGCGTTCTTGGGGCTCGGGTACAACGGCATCCGCGACGCGGGCGTCGCCGCGGTCGCGACGCTCCTGGGCGTCGGCGCAAAGGCCGCGCGCCGGCGGCCGTCGACGGTGGACCTCCTCGGCGCCGACGACCTCATCTTCGACGGCGTCGCGTGCCCGCTGACGGCGCTGGACCTGTCGCACAACGCGCTGAGCCACCGCGGCGCGCGGAGCCTCGGCCGCGCGCTGCGCTACCACGAGCTGCTCGTGTCGCTGGACGTGGCCCACAACCGGCTGGGCTCCCCGGGCGGCGTCGCGATCCTGGAGGCCTTCGTGCAGCCCGACGAGGAGACGATGCTCGCGGCCAAGGCCTACGAGTACGGGAGGGGGAAAATAGACGTGACAAAGGAGACGGACGAGGAGAAGGAGCGCATCGCCGACCGGGCGCTCGCCGTGCTCTTCTTCAACTGCTCCGTGACGGCGCTGAATCTGGCGGGCAACGCGCTCGGCGGCGACGCGGCGCTCGCGCTCGCGCGCGCGTTCCGGAGGAACCAGAGCCTCGCGCACGTCGACTGCTCCGACAACCCCTGCGTCTTCGACGCGGACGTCTACGAGGACCGGTCCTACGTGAAGCGCTTCGGCGGCGACGACGGCAACTACGTCACGGGCGAGGCGCCGCGCGACCGCGCGCGCACGCCCCTCGAGTGCTTCGGCCATTTGCGGATCTACAACAAGTCGCTCGCGAGTTTGGATCTGTCGTACGTGGAGCTGGAAGAGGACGCCCTCTTCGCCATCGGCAAGTGGGCCGCGGCGAAGCAGTCGAAGGCGCGCGCGCTGCGGCTCAAGCGCTGCGGCGTCGACGTCGCGCGCGCCAAGGTCCTCGCGGACGTGCTCGCGACGGCGCAGGCCCACGCGCTCGGCGCGCCGCTAGAAAGATTGGACCTCTCCTTCAACCCGCTGGGCGACGCGGGCGCGGCGCACATCTCCGCGGCGCTCGCCGTCGTGACGCACGGCGTCCGGACGCTGTGCCTGGCGCAGACGGCGCTGGACCCGGAGGGCTGCGCGGCGCTCTTCAGCCACTTCGACCCGCGGCTCAGCGCCGTCGTCAAGGCCCACGCGCACGTGTTGGGCGCGGCGACGGCCATCCTGGAGCAGGACGGCTTCTTGAACGAGATCCTGGAGGCGAAGCGGCGGGGCATCCAGCTCCCGGACGACGTGAGCTCCGACTCGACGTCGCGGCCGAACACGGCGTCGTCCTACGACTTCCCGAACTCGCGGCCGGGCACGGCGGGCAGCGGCCAGACGCACGCGCCGGACATCCTGCAGCTCGGGCGGCCGGGGACGCCGGGCGAGGGCCGGGGCACGCCGTCGGGCTCGCGCCCGAGCACGCCCGGCGGCGGCCGGCGGCCGGGCACGCCGGGGAGCCGGCCGGGCACGCCGGGGTCCTCCGACTACGGGAGCCGGCCGGGCACGGGCGGCGGCTCGCGGCCGAAGACGCCCGGGAGCCGGCCCCACACGCCCGGGAGCCGGCCCGGGTCGCGCGACGGCCGCCGGCGGAAGAAGCCCAAGCTGCCCGCGCACCTCCTCGACGACAAGGCGCGCGTGACGGCCTTCTCGCGCCTCGAGAAGCTCGGCGAGAAGCAGAAGAAGGCCGCGGCCATGGGCAACGCGCGCGACGCGTTCCCGGCGACGACGATCACGGACCTGGACCTCGGCGACAACTTCTGCGGCGTCAACGGCGCGCGCGCGCTCGTCGCCGCGCTGAAGATGGCCGCCTTCGAGGACCGGCCGGCGCCGCTGACGGCGCTGCGGCTCTCGAACGCGCGCGTGAGCCTGCGGGGCGCGGAGGTCCTCGGCGACTGCCTAGCCGCGGGCGCGTTACCGCGCCTCGCGGTGCTCGACGTGTCGTCGAACGCGATCCAGGACAGCGGCGCGGCGGCGCTCGCCAAGGCCATCGCGGCGCTGCCGAACCTGCGGCGCCTCGACCTCGGCTACAACAACCTGAGCGAGGCCGCGACGTTCGCGCTCCGGAGCCACCTGCAGACGACGTCCCGGAGCTCCGAGGAGAGCAAGCTCCTCGCGCTCGACGTGGGCATGATGGGCAACGGCGTCGACGAGGGCGACGCGTCCGCGCCGGGGCTCGCGCGGTCCAAGCTCAGCCTGCGCTACGAGCCGACGACCTTCCGGCAGAAGCTCCCGAAGAACCCCTACGTGGCCCGGAAGGACCTCGCCAAGGCCGCCGCGGCCATGGGCGGCATGGCCGGGGCGACGGCGCGCGACTAATGTGGTGTGTGACTCTGAGTGCGGCATGGGCCGGGGCGACGGCGCGCGACGAATGTGGTGTGTGACTCTCAGTGGCCCACCGCGGCGCCGCAGGACGGCCCCGCGGCCCAGGCGCCGTCGAGCGCGGCGCGGAGCGGGAGGAGGTGGCGCCGCGCGGTCGCGTCGGAAAGCAGGAGCGCTTCCTGCCTTGCCGTGTCGTGCCTCGACGAGGTCACGTGCTGCGACCGATTCCGCTTGCCCGCGTAGCTGTCGACGATCGCGTCGGCGATTTCCTCGGTCTGGGCGGCGTCGACGGGGAGGCCGAGCGCGCCGAAAACGCATGCGAGCGTCGGGCGGGGCTCTGAGTAGAACGCCGCCATGGACGCGAGCGCGAAGCCGGGGCCGGCGCCGCCGGCCCACGCCGCCCACTTGCCGATGCGGATGTTTTCTGGCGAGCGAATCATCGTCGAGAAGAATTCGATGCGCAGGCCGTCGAACTCGGTCGCCGTTGTAGGAGCTCGCCGTAGGTCAGATTCGACGCGTTGCTCCGCTTGTCGACGGCGGCGTACTTCGCCTGCAGCGCGTCGCACGCGGCGATGAGTGTCGCGTCGGTCTGGACCGTCGCGAAGTGGAACTGGTACGCGTTGCACCTGCGGGTCGTCGGTGCGTCGCGCGCTCGACGATTCCGGGACGCGGGCGAGACGGATGCGCCGCGCGGACGCGGTCGATCCAGCCCTCGGGCGCGCGCGGCTGCGCGTGGTAGTTGTAGCCGCTGACGACGAGCGCGACGGGGTCGCGCACGAGCACGACGACGCGGACCGTCGGGAACGCGGCGCGCAACGTCGCGAGCGGCGTGTCCGGGTGCTTCGCGCGCCAGAGCGTCGCGCGGCGCGGGTCGCGGTCGAGCCGCGCGAGGACCCGGTCGAGGCGGCCGTCGACGTCGTTGAGCACGCCGGACGCGACGCCGGCGACGCGCTCGAGCTCGTTCTGGAGCTTGATGGTGAAGTCCGTGCCCGTCTTGTGGAAGACGCCGACGAGCCGGAACGGCGCGGCTTTCTCCAGCAGCGGCGCGTGCTTCGGCGGCGGCGGCGCGAAGAAGTCCCAGGCCGCCGCAATGCACGCGCAGAGGGCGACGCGCCCGAGGGATGCCATCTCATCGTCGGGCAGCGCGAAGGGCAGCTTCGGCCTGTCCTCGACCGATCACCTTGGGTGCAGTGGGCATGGACCGCGCTTGGGCCTGCTCTTGAGGCTTTGTGCGCTATCTAAGCGATGGCGGAAAACAACGACGACTTCATGGTCGAGGCCGTCGGCAGCATCGCGGGGGAGGCGAGGCACCGCGTGTAAATTAACTGTCTGGGTGTGCGGCGACCTGCCCCAGGAGCCACTGGACGAACCGCGTTCTCGTGGCCAACGCGGCGACCCTCGCGCGCCGGTCGCGCCGGCGGGGGCGCCGGAGAAGTAGGCCGTCTCAGAGTCTCGACGGCGCCGACGCGCGAATTTGAACGTTCAGTTATTTGGATCTAGCGCGCGCGGATCGTCACCTTGGGGGAGGTCTCCTTCGGGCCGAGGAAGAAGGAGAAGTCCGCCGAGGCGGAGCCGAAGAGCGGGACGCGGTCCCCGGGGGACGAGTAGTCGGAGGGGCCGCGGGTCCCGTGCGTTGAGAAGTTGTCAATGAGGGTGATGGTAGAGGAGCTCAAGATGAGCATGCAGTGGACGTTGGAGACTGCCATGTCGTCGATCTGCACGTCCATGGAGCGCGCGCGGCCCACAAAAAGCACCGGTTTTCGAACAAACGATTTTGAAATCCCGCCGAACTCGACCTCGAACGACCCGTAGAACAAGTTGCCGAGGCTCTCTTGCTGCAGCACGTGCTGCTCCAGCGCGCCTGCCTGCGCGATCTCGAGGATCGACGACTTGAGCTCGGGGGACTCACCGATGCTCGCGACCGTCGCGCGGACGGCTTGCAGGTCGTGACCCTGGACCGCTTTCAAAAACGGGTAGAAGGCGCGGAGGGCTGCGACGCGCGCGCCCGCGGCACGCGCCGCGGCGGCGGGCGCGGCCGGCGTCGCGGCGAAGGGCGCCGCGGCGCGGCGCGGCGCGGCGGCGGTCGGGATCGCGCGCGGCGCGGCGATGGTCGCCGCGGCCTTGTCGTGGATCGTGTCCTTGATGCGCTCGCAGATGGCTTTCTGGCTCATCGTGAAACACTCGAAATCGTTTTTGAGCTCGCGCGCGAGAGCCGCGCGGTCCGGAGCGTGCCGTGCTTTGACCTCTCGCTCCAGGAGACCCTGGAGCGACAGGCCCTCGACGCCGCTCGGGGCGTCCCATTTTACATGTGTGCGTTTCCCTCCCGCCTCGGGGTCGATCGGCGCCGCAGCCAGGCCCCGACGGCGTGCAGAGAGACGAGTCATGAAGCACGACGACTGCTGACCTCGGGAAATTTTTACTCGCTGATCTCCTGACCTCAGGTGAAGCAGCCAAGAGCGGCTCCGGCCAAAATGTCACTGATGACCGACTGCCGCGAGCCGGGCTGCTCTTAGGGCCCGCCTCTTCGTCCGCGCAAGCCGTAGCCACGTGGTAATTAAATGGCTCGTGCGGGTCTTACATGATGGGATGGATCGACGACGGCGTCCGCGGCCGTCGAAACGCGCGGAGTGTGCACTGTGCACGCCGTCGACAGGTCCTCGCCGCGTACACGGAGCTCGCGTCCCCGAACGCCCAGCCCGAGAAGCGGGTCGAGAACGAGGCGAGCTCGTGCGTGGGCGGCGCCGAGGGAATGCCGCGCGCGCGAGGATCCGCCGGGCGGATTCGCCGTCGGCCACGAGCGCGCGGACGCTCGCGCCGTCCGCGGACGAGGTGCGGAACGCGTAGAAGTAGATGTCGTCGACGCGCCCCCTCGAGACCGCGCGGGGGATGGCCGTGGAGGTGAACGCGTCGCTCTGGAGCGCGCGCGAGACGAGCGAGCCGTCGGCGGCGCTCCCCGTCGAAAACGCGAGCTCGCGGCGCGGCGCCGCGGGGGGGCGGACGGCGAACGTCGTCGACGGCCACGTCGTCGCACAGCGCGTGGCGCGCCCGGGCGGCCGCGATCGGTGGGCCGACGCCTCGCTGTCGCGCGCGACGAGCGTGCCGTTGGCGGCGCGGAGCTCGAAATCGTCCGCGACGCGCCGCGGCGACGCGGGGGGGATGAACTCGCACGTCGTAGACCGTCGCGTCGTCGCGCCGCCCGTGGCGTGCCCGGGCGCCGGCGACGGACTGGCCGAGGCGTCACTGTCGCGCGCGACGAACGAACTCGTCGAAGCGGTCGGCGCGGAGCTCGAAGAACCTCCGCGGCGCGGCGCGGTGCCGCAGGACGGGGGCGAACGTCGGCCGTCGACGCCCGCATCGTCGCAGCGCGTCAGGCGCGCGGGGGCGACGGCGACGTACGCGCACATGAGCCAGATCTCGGGCACAGAGGCGAAGCCGAGGGATCTGAAGATGATGTCTGCAGCGGCGTGTGGCACGGACTTCGAGGGCGCACTGAAGACGCTGCGGCAGTTGAGCAGGGCCTTGGGCCGGGTGCTCACAGTAGTAGCTGAAGCGTAGGGTGACGCAAGCCCCCGTCGCGTGGCTGGCTGAGCACGGAGCAAATTTACCACAAGCTCCTGAGAAGACCCAAATCCAGCCTTCTCGTGTGCGTGTGTTCAACAGTGTGTGTTCAATATATTTAAGGTTAATATTGAGGAATTCCTACTCAAGTCAGCCTCGTCGAATGTCCCTGCGATTTCAACGGACGTCCCTGGGTATTAAAACAACAACCTCTAAAGCTTCGCGCACCAGCCCCGGAGCGCGACCGCGCGGAGCACGTCGACGGTCCTCGCCGTGGAGGCGGAGCTCGCCGGCCCGAACGCCCAGCTCGAGAAGCGGGTCGAGCACGAGGCTGGCTCGGGCGTGGGCGGTGCCGAGGGGGCTGCCGCGCGCGCGACGATCCGCCGGGCGGATTCGCCGTCGGCCGCGAGCGCGCAGACGCCCGCGCCGTCCGCGGACGCGGTGCGGAACGCGTAGGAGTACATGTCGTCGAAGCGCTCCCTCGAGACCGCGCAGGCGATGGCCGCGGAGCCGACCTCGTCGCTCTGGACCGCGCGCGCGACGAGCGAGCCGTCGGCGGCGCGCTCCGTCGAAACGCTCGCCCGTCGCGTCCGCGGAGAGGCGATTGGTGCACGTCGTCGACGGCCACGTCGTCGCGCCACGCGTGGCGCGCCCGGGCGCCCGCGTCCGGCCGGTCGAGGCGCCACCGTCGCGCGCGACGAACTCGTCGAAGCGGTCGGCGAGGAG